GGTAGGAAGTACAGGACTCTACAGGAAGTATGGGACCAGACAGCAAGTACAGGACTAGGCAGAAAGTATGGGTCCATACAGGAAGTGCAGAACTAAACAGAAGTATGGGAGTAGGCAGGAAGTACGGGTCTAGACAGGAAGTGCAGGACTAGACAGCAGTGTAGGACTCAGCAGGAAGTACAGGACTAGACAGGAAGTATGGGACTAGACAGGATGTGAAGGACCAGATAGGAAGTATGAAACCAGACAAGAAGTTCAGGACTAGTTAGAATGGGACTAGGCAGGAAGTACAGGACTCTACAGGAAGTATGGGACTCTACAGGAAGTATGGGACCAGATAGGAAGTGCAGGACAAGACAGGAAGTATGGGACCAGACAGGAAGTGCAGCACTAGACAGAAGTATGGGAGTAGGCAGGAAGTAGGGGACCAGACCTGAAGTGTAGGACTAGACAGGATGCACAGGACTAAATAAGAAGCACAGAACTAGATGGGACGTACAGGATTAGACGGGAAGTAGAGGGCCAGACTAGGGTCCCACCATGAGCCATGGCTGAAGATGCAATGCCCTGGTGGTTGAGTGGCACCTGGGCCTGCAGATGCACTCCCTTGAGGTGGATCTGGACCAGGCCACAGAATCATTTGTTCCCAGAAAGCCTGGGACTGCTCCGAGGGAAGGCTGTCCCACAGCATCCCAGTGTAGGCAGACCTGGGTGGGCCCCCACCTCCTGCTCCAGCGTGGCTGGACCCCAAGAAGGGACCTGAAGAAAGGTGAGAAGTACATGCTGGGACAGAACTACATTGCCTCTGCTCACCCCAGGCTCTGCCACTGTCAAGTTTGGGATTTTGGGCGTGTGGCTTAAACTAACCCAGCTCCCTGTCTGCACACCTGGGGTGGTCATGGTGGTTACTTCTCAGGGCCCTTGGTTCTGAGATGCTTTGAACAGTACCTCACACGCAGCAGATGCCCAGTGGTTAGTGGTCATTAGGGCCCTGGCCTACAATGGTGACAGCTGAGGGGCTATCATCCCCAGTGCTCAAAGCTCCTGAAACAGCTGGCTCCCGGGGACCCCACTGCAGAGCTGCACAGTGGTCTTCCTGCTTGCTCACTGGGGTGAGGCCTTGAGGAACAGGGCTCTTGACAGGTCCTGACTTGAAGCATTTTTACATTCTGTCTGTGCCTGGTGTGTGGTAGGCCTTGAATACTTAATTTTTTTTTTTTAAGGAAAATAAACATCTAAATACTAAAAAGTAATGGGATGCTTAAGCTGTTGATGTCCGTTTTAGGCCAGCAAGTCCACAATGGAACATGACATCTTGATGATGAAATTTGCGAGGAGTGACCAAAGTTTGACCTTGTTTCACCACCTGGATAAGGGTCATCGTCAAGAGAGAATTCTTCTCAAATTCACTTTGAGGTGAGGCCCAGCAGTTGCCGTCTTGCCTTTTGGGTCCTTTTGATAACATACAATAAAGTGGGAACTTGCTCAGGCACAAGTGCCTTCAACATGCCAAAGTCTCTTCTCCAAGGTGATAAATTCTAAGGACTTGGGGGCTTTCCCAGAAATGTCAGTTTCTGAGAAAAGGAGACCAAGTGGTAGAAGTTACCCAACGAGGTAAAACAGCATTTTATCTTGTTATTTGCTATCTCTGCACAGCCCCGTTCTGCTCTTGGCACTGGGGAGTTCCAACATCAGCCTGTCACTACGGCTTCTGAATACATAGGGTTCCTCAAACTTCTTTTTACTCAGTCCTTCTGACAGGCAGAAACGAGTCCACTAGGCAGGAAGTACGGTACCTAGAACTTACTGGCCGTGTTGCAGGAGCTGATCCAGACCAACAGGAGCAGCTGCTGAGGCCAGGCAGCCGAGCGCGTGGCCTGGGAGTGCCAACAGCCTCTGCAGCTGGGGATGCCACCCGCAGATGTGCCCTCCTCGCCTGGCTGGGTCCAGATGCAGAGTGTTGGGGAAGGGCTTCAGATGGGCTCCAGGCAGTGGCACTCGGAGCAGGGAGTTTCAAAGTCAGAGGGGATATTGAGTGGCAGGTGCATAAAGGGACATCTGGGGAAAGAAGAGTTGGGAGGCCAGATGATAGACATCCCACCCCCCAGGAAAGGGCTAATGAGAGATGTGCAGGATTTTATGAAGAAAAATCAAGTGCACTAGGTAGATTAAAACTACCGCACACCTTGAAAAAGAGCAGAAAAGTAAGCCGTCACGGTGTACTACTGCATACATGTGACACTGTAGTGTGTGATATTGTAATCCCAGGTAAGGCCCACAAAGAGCTTTGGAGAAGATTAAACTGATTCTAAAATGCATGTGAAAGAAAAAAAATGTACAATGGCCAAGACAATTTTGAAAAATAAGATATCTGAGGGTCATTTCAGGCTGCTGGAAGATGCCTGGGCTGGCTCTGGGAGGTGTGGCAATGGATTTTGTACTGTGTATCACTAACAGAATGAATTCCAGGTAGGTTAAGATGAAGGAAAACTGTCCCGAACTGCAGGGTTTGTGAATAAAATATATTTAAAACTGTGGTTTAGAGAAGTTGTGTCAAATACAGAAACCTAAAGCCAAGATCGGTCAATCTGACTTCTTACATGACAATTTCTGCATAAATATCACAAGCAATTAAAAGACATGCAGAACAAAAATATGCATTTGTGAAAAACAGTGTATATTCACAGAAGCGTATTCAGTGTTGCCTGCACTGCTAAACCCTCAGGTGTCCATTGATAAGTCTGTAGACCAATTATGGCCATTTTAACATGATCTCTTACATCACGTTGTGCAAAAGAAACCAGATGCACATGGCCTTATGTGTTTGACTTCATTCATAGGAAGTTCAGAAACAGGCAAAACTAGTGGTGGTGAGAAAAAACTTAGGACAGATGTCACTCTGGGGGCAGAAGGGAACTTTCTAGGGGGACAATACTGTTCTCAATCTTGATAGGGGTTGGGTGACAGTCGTTTTCCTTGGTTGAAACCCAGCACTTAATGTACACTTAATGCAGATCTATATATATTTTTATTAGTTACACAAGACAGTACAATGATCGTGATCTGTATGTTTTACTGTGTGTAAGTTTTATCTGCAAGGGAAAAAAATGTAAAAGGGATGGACTCTAGATTATAGATATGCTGGACATTTAGGGGCAAGGTCATTGATGACGATAACCTGCTTTGAAAGGCACCCCAAAGTAAGATGGATTAACGGATGGAGAGATGATACTAATGTTATAAAATGTTCAAAGTCAAAGCTAGGGAGTCAGAGCATGGTTGTTCTCTAGGAAACCCTTTTGACTTCTCTGTTTGAAAATTTTCATTATCAGATGTCCATGAGGAGATTTTTGTTTCTCCATATATGCATACACACACAAACACACACACACACACACACACATATACATATACACACACACATATATGTAAATTTTTTTTGTACCAGGACTGAACCCAGGGGTGCTTAACCACTGAGCCCCTTCCCCAGCCCTTTTATGTTTATTTTGACACAGGGTCTCACTAAGTGGCTTAGGGCCTTGCTAAGTTGCTGAGGCTGGTTTTGAACTCACAATCCTCCTGCCTCAGCCTCCTGACCTGCTGGGATGACAAGTGTGAGCCACCGTGCCTGGCTATCTAAAATATATTAAGAGCTGATCATCAATAGGAAAATGAAAAATTCAATTAAAAGTAAATGTAGCCCTTCAGAAAACAAGGTAAATTATCAACAGTGCCTGGAATGATCGTCCAACCAGCATTCAAACTTAAACCAGTCAGTCCCACTCCCTGCTCACCCGCCAGGCTGACTCCAGCATGACTACCTCGTGGCTGCAGGTGGTGTGGCCACTGGGCAGCGTATGCAGGTGGCCAAAGCTGCCTCCACCTCCCTGTGCCACCAGCAGAGTGAGAGACCCCAGAGCAGACCTTACACCTGGCACCTCACACAGCAGTTGGAATGTGGCCACTCTAGGAAGATCTATGGCTGGAGTCAGAACCACCTAGGTGATGGTCTTTACAGCCAGTGCAAAACCACACACACACACACACAGTGCAATGCCACCTTGGTGAGGAGGTGGGCTTGGGGTGATGCGAAATAAATATAATTCAAAGAAAATAAGTGTTATCGACAAGACCATTTATGCATGGCTTGCCTAATTAAAACGAAAAGCATGAACACATTCTTATTTTCAGAGCTCAACACTTTCCCAGGACCTGTTTCAGAGTTGAAGTGGCAAGTCATATACTGACTTATGGAAACCTGATGACTTACATCCCAAGATCAGCCTTTGTTCTCTTGGTCACCCCCAAATTCAGCCACTGCAGCTGGGGCCAGGGGGCTCCGAGGTTCCTTTGTGAGAAGGTGGTGGTCTCTTTACCCTGGGGCTCTGAGCAGGGCTGCAGGACAGCCCTTTCTACTCAGGTCACGTGGGACTTCTGTCTTTCAGGTTTTCTTCGACTGCGACAGGTCAGATGCAGACACATGCCACTGCCTCAGGCCCCTCTACCCAGGGCTGAATCATGTTGGACTACAGGGCAGAACTAGCTGTTGTTTGTTATACCAGCCGACTCAAAATCAACTTAAGCTGTTTCTCCCCCATTTTTGTGAAAGCATCAGACAGCTCACCAGAACAAGTTGAAAGTTTTATTTATATAAAATTCATTAAGAACATAAAAGATTGAGATTCTTAAAAAAAAAATCTGCACTTATTTACAGCAGTATTGCACAAGTAAAGTGGCGATTACCCTGTCAAAATTCATCAGTGCAAAACACAAGTCAGCCAGGGAAATTGCAATACAATGCTACATATGCTGGGTCCTAGGGGACGAGTTAGTGATGGGTCAATATACAGACAGGTCAGTGCTATTTATAAATGGGTACCTGATGAGTTCCGATACAGTAATGAGTGGTCACAGAACCTGCACATAAAACCCAAGAGAGCTCTCAGGGTCTGAAATTCCCAGGTAAAGTAGTCAAGTTAACTCAGCTGTGAGCTCGAGGGTGCTTCTCACACACAGCACACCCCAGATGATTTAGCGACACACAGGGACGGCAGAACCGCCCTTGAGGGGTCACTAGATTTCCCTGGAGCATCCACAAGCTTTCACATCTTGACACCCAGCCCAGCGGGTCCCCAACCTCTCCCAAGGGGGATGGAGAATTGGGAAGAGGGCAGAGACCTGGAGAAGCAGGCTGACCAAATGCAGTGACTGGATGGTGAAGTGCCAGGTGCAGTTAGCTCCCGAGGACAAAGGTCCGTCCACACCTCAGCACAGGACCCACGGGCAGGTGCAGGTGGGGAGGAGCCATTCACTCACCAGTTGCCAAGAAGGGCCTGGTGACTGGAGGCACCCCGAAGCGGCCTGTCTCTTGGTCCCGCCTGGCCCCTGCCCTGGACAACTGGGTCAGCAGTGCCTCTCGAGGGGACAGTTTATCCACGGCAATGCTGAGTTGTCAGGTGAGGCTTTCCAATGGGAAAACCCGCCCACCTGCTGAGAATACTTTTTTTTTTTTTTCCATCTTAAAAGCCCTGGCCTGGAATTAGCAAATTAGCTCCTGAGAGAAGCCAGCTGCTCTGGACAGGTAGAGGCTGCTGAGTGCTTCTCAGAGTGGAATTTTGTACACTGCTAGATTGCTGGTTTCTCCTGGGTGTCACATGCAAACTCCACCCGAAGGCGGCAGGGCCCAAGAGCTGACCACCAGGAACGGAAGCCAGAGGCCACCCCGGGAAGACCACGTGGTCTGCAAGAGCCCACTAGTCACCACCTCCCGCCTTGGGAGCCGGCACCCAGTCCCGGGATGGCAGGGTATGGGGGGACAGGGACGTCAACACTTTCCAAACTTAACACATTAAATAAGCCGAAAATAAATATACAACATTTCTACAAGTTACAGCATTATAAAACAGTAGGCCACATAACACAGAAAGAGAATCTACAATATTTACAATCCTTGATTCTGAAAAAGATTTAGAAAAAACAGTGATTTTTACTCATTGATACTGTACAAAATTTTACAAGAAAGGTCAAGGGGACATAATTGCACAGATATTTGGCTCAGTTGGTAAGAAAAATATGACCTAATCTAATAAATAGTCAATATATATACAACACAGAGAAGGGGGAACAGGAAAAAATTGCATTTCTCTGTACTTTACTTATGGAATTTTAAATTGTTTTTTCCAGCCCTCTTAACCCCCCAATTCTTCATCAACACATTTCTGGGACGGGAACTGGAAGAATCTCAGAGGGATCTTTCTCTTTATTGCATTTCAGTGTGAAGCCAGGGGACACTTTTTACACTTTTTACAAACCTCACATGGGAGAGGTCATCAAGGCACAAAACCCGCATTTTCAAAAAAAAAGGGGGGGGGAGGTCTAGGTAACTTTTTCCTACAAAAAATTAAAAAATGATTAACTAAGAAGCCAAGGCGTGCCCACGCAGGGAGGCACACTTCCTGCGGGAGGCGTTTTGATCAACAGTACAGTACAGAGACTCCGCCATCTCTCCACGCTCGGGCGCTGGCATCCTGTTAGCCTTTGCCATGCACAGGCCGAAGCCTTTCCTCCGAGCTGCTCCTGCCAGCCTGGAGGCCAGGCTGTAACCCGGCCAGCACCAAGCATGATGGTACGGCCTTGGGCACCTGTGTCAGGAAGCCACAGGGCTGAGGAGACATGAAGTGCTCTGGTCCGAGAGACTGGCACATGAGCACAGAGGCCTGGGAGGCGGGCGGCCCAGAACCAGATACATCTTTGGTGTGTGTGTGTGTGTGTGTGTGTGTGTGTGTGTCCGTCCAGCAGGGTCGCAGCTGCAATCCCCACCCCACCTTGCAACTGTGGGCTGCACGTGTGACCACAGGGGGCTCAAGACACATCAGGAGACAAGCTGTGCTCCCACACAGCTTTCAAGATATAAAAAGGAATAATATTTGGAATCAGATCATCTCTACTTAAAGAAAAAAACATATAGGCAACATATATATATATATGTATATATATGTCTGTACACGTATATCTACACACATACACAAAAACCTGGGAAGTAACAGAAGAATGATTTTCCACTTAATTTAATGTGACCACACTGGTCCTCTACCTGGCAGAAGCAAGAGCCAGAGCTGTTGGCACTGCTGATGTATTTGGAAAACTCATCCACTCCTTTTAGAAAAGCTATTTCATGATTTGAGATTTTGAAACTTTTAAGAATCCCAGGGTTTGTAGCCCCACCCCATTTGGGTCTTTCCTGGGTCTCCCTGGTTTTCCTGCTTCTGAAATGACTGACCGATGGCTTCAGATGTGCTGTGATACCAGGGGACAGTAGGGGCAGGCAGAGAGCGCGGCCCCCAGAGGTGGAGGCCAGGTGCACCGACACCGACCCAACTGGCCTAAGAAAACGGGAAAAGCAAAACTTTCAGAAGGCTCAGTGGACACGCTGGACTCTGCCCAGGGGTGCGGTGCAAAGCAGAATGAAGCTGCTCTTCCAAGGCAGGCTAGAAGGAGCAGGCACTGAGGCAGTACCACAGGCCAGGAGGAGGCCAGCAGGCAGAGTTGCAGCCAGGCTGGCAGCATATTGGCATGTGGCTCCCCTGGGCCGGATGGCCATGGGACGGCTCTCCCTCTCCAGAACACTCCAGGACAAGTCCCTGTAAACCAAGGGGACCAACATGGCACCCCCAACTGGCCAGGTGCCAACTCCTGCTCTGACCAATGATGCTTCGCCTTGAACCAAACCTGCACATCAGCATCCAGCTGGACTGGGGCTGCCTCACCAGTGACCGGGAAAGACACCAAAACAGTCGGAAATGCTGCCACAGAGGCAGCTGAGTTGAAGGAAGTAAATAAATATTTACAAAGCAGGTGAGGCCGGCCAAGGGACAGCAGGTCCCCTGCCCCCTGCCCAGTTCCATTTTATAAGAACAACTTTTGATTTTAATGATCAAAAAAGGAAAAAAAGAAAAAAGAAATCTCAAAAGCCAACGGCAGGGGAAGGAGGGAGCCCATCACACCTCTCCCTGTTAAAAAATTCTGTACAGTATTTTCTAAAAATAAACTAAGGCAGCTTTATAAACTAGCTGGCTCAGTTTCCACTGCAAGGTTCAGATAATCCTCTGAGATAGGGAATAAGTTCTTAAAATTTTAGTACAAAAAAAATCATTCACAAGTTGGTTAAAAAGTTTCCATTTCCTTTGTGAAAAAAACCTGTTCTCACTGCAGGAGGTGGGAAAGCCACGACATGTAAACACCCTTCTGCAGACAATCCTGCTCCAAGAACCACGGTTTCTGCATTAAAAAGGAATCCTCCCACATTTACATTCACAGCAACTTCCACAGACACGCACAGGCGCAGTGCGGAGCCACGCGATGCAAGGTCAAGTCCACCTGCGGACACAGGGTCTTCTGCGCTGTCCCGCCCTCCGCGCCGCGGGAAGAACGCTGGGCTGGCTGCACAGCGGGGTTGGGGACGCAGGGCTTGGCCTGGCCCTCCCTGGGAACGAAGAGTCCGCGCGTGTCCGGCTCCGGGAGACCCCGTCAGTGCATCCTCCACACCAGGCGGATGATGCAACGCAACAGGCGCAAGATAACCATTTGGGGGCGGTCTTCAGGTTGGTAATTATTAAAAAATACCTGAAACACAAAAGCAAAGCTTCTCAGTGTCCGTCTGCTTTTGGGTGTCGGTGTTGAGTGGACCATCCGCCCTCCTTAGTCACTGCAAGGCCCCTGAGGGCCTCCTGGAGTGCCAGCCCCTGCGGAGGACCACCTTCATGCAGGGCAGGCCTGCCAAGTGGCTGCCTTAGGACAGGAGTGTAAAACAACCAATGGACACTGTGCTGGACAGCGGGTGGCAAAGCTTCCCGCGGGGGCAGCTTGGAAACCAGGTCCTCTGAGGAGGGCACATATGGTATTGGGTAGCCTGAGGAACCACGTGCACCTGATATGGACATCCCATGTCACCGACTCCCTCAAAGGTGAATTGCTGGTAGCTGTAATTTATGAAACCAGTGATTTGCCCTAAGAAGCTAAATGAAGGGGCGCGAGGATGCGCCGTGCCCTGCTGCCCAGCAGCTCCATGGATAAACACCAACGCCGAAGCCCATGGTCAGATGCCAGGCCCACCTCCCACCCTCACCCAGGAGCAAAGACCAAGCATGGACAGAAGAAAGGCCACTTGCAGAGGACATTGCAGATCACTTCTAGCCTCAGAGGCTCGCTCAGGTCTTCAGGGTGCCCACTCCAGGTCCATCTCTTTACAGGTGACCACGAGGGGCTGACACATAGCAGCCCAAGTTGACACCAGGAGGGGCACCCCGGTTCACATCCAAGTCAGAAAGTGGCCCTGCCCTTCCTAGTGACCAATCTTAGCAGACCCCACTGGCCCCACAGCCCCAGAAATTGCTTCCAGGGTTCTGCCTGGGGACCACCGGTCAAGAGTCAGGCTGAGCCGATGGCCCGCTCAGGACCCCAGCTGCGGGTGCCCGCGCACCACGGCCTGCGATAAGCCAGGGCATTTCCCGCTTCCTTCCATAACAAGACGGAGGAAATCAGCCCTGTCAGGAGGCCTGCAGACGGCTCCGTAACCACAGTCTGCGATTTTTATCACTGTACACACAGATTGCTTTGTTTTGATTTAACTTTCAAAATTACTTTGCTCCTTCTGTGTGAGAATAATTTAGGGGAAGGTTAATTTTGGTGCAGACTAATATTAATGGGTTGAAAGAGGCTTATTCAAAATAAAACCACAACTCGCTGACGGGAAGCAGGCGTGCTGACAGGCTGCGCCATCGGCCCAGAGGGAGCCTCAGCCTACCTGGGGCCACTCTGTCTTCAGAGTGACCAGAGGATGGGCTGATGGGTGTCCATGGTCAAAATGACACCAAAGGGCCACCCACGGGACAGGCCTGACTGTTGACACTGGTAGGCTCCAGGTCCCAGTCCTGGCGGTATCTGAGGACAGGTGAAGGACGGTGGCTGTGACCTTGGGTAAGGAGTCACATCAAGGGCTATTTGGACACAGGTGGGGAGAGCCAAGGTGTATGTGTGGGGGGCATTTTGGTGACAGGAAGGCCCAGGTCTCTGACCAGCGAGGCCATGCGGCAGCCACTCCTCCTGCCCTCTGAGGAGGTGGGCACGACTCATGGCACACGCTTCCACAAGTGAGCAATTGCTCCTGGGTGATGTTCAATGGAAGTAGCCATGAGCACTGACTCACAGTGGTGCCAGCCCAGTGGCCCTGGACAGCTGGCACAGCGCTCAAGTGGCTGCTGGCCCAGGGTGTGGCCCACGACTGGCTCAGGGCCGGGGAAAGGGAGCTGCAGCGGGTGAGGATGAGAACCAGGTCCCAACTGCTCCAAGTCCTGCACGGGGCCAGCCATGGCAGCCAGCTCAAACCCACACACCTGCGTGAGCTCCTGCAGCTGCAGCTGAGCCTCGGTCTGGGTGTTGGAGGGCGAGGAGTTCAAAGCCATGGACCAACCCGAGGTGGACCACACTGGCAGGAGGTTAAGGCATGTGCACCCTTGGTTCTGGCCAAAGCAACACCCCCGGGCTGGAATGTGCCTAGGGGCAGGGCCTGCCAAGCACCGCGTGGTGGGGCCACCAGTTAAAAGCCAACATGGCGGTGGGATCTGCCCTGCGACCTGTGGAGCGATGGCTTCTGGTGTGTGGCGCAGGGCTCGAGGGCAACAGATGCACTAAGAGAGAGTGGCAGGGCTAGATCCCCTCCCTGGGCTGGGTCCATGCCAGCCTCTTGCATGGCTCTCAGGAGGCATCTGAGTGCCCAGCACAGGTTGAGTTTCCTCTCGTAGCAAGGAGTGTCAAGCCAGTTCCCAAGGTCCTGCGAGGGGCGCCTGCAGGCCTGACCATGGCCCCTGTTAGCATGAGATAATAAACAGGAAGCCACCCCAGGACATCATGGGGGTAAATGAGATGACAGAGACATTGGCCAGGACAGCAGGGCAGCCAGGACAGAGACCAGGTGGACAGGGCGAGCAACAGTATTGGCTTCTCATAATGAGGGGGGAAGGCTGGGGCAGGGCTGCCAACTCTTCTGGCCAGCAGGGGAGCACTGCGCCCAGGGATGCCCAGGGCAGCCGGCATGGCTGCAGACCCTGCCCCGGGCCAGCCTCCAGCTGCGCTCGAGCAGTACCACGGCATCCAGCTACACCTCCTCGTCCAGGAGCTGCCCACACGCCAGTCCTGCAGACTGTGTACCCGGTCTGGGGTCAGAAGAATCGTTCACTGCCATCACTGAAGGAAACGAGTCTTCAAAATAATCCTACGAGGTGAGTAGCACTCCCCATGCTACAAGTGGCTGGAGGTGTCAGAGCAGGACAGGACAGGACAGGTGCCTGGAGCTCTCTCTCCTGCCATGGCACACGCCACCTAGGACCACAGCCAGCTCCCACGATGGAGAACAAGGATGCTGGCATGCCCAGGCCAGGAAAACAGTGCAGGGTGACCCTGGGGCCAGCCAGCCCCTCTGGCCACACTAGGAGCCTGGTTTTGGGGAGGGTGGCCACTCCTCAGAACTGGAGGAAGCCTCGCCTTAGTTTAAAGGAGGCCTCAGCCAGTGCCTGAGTGAGGATGGAAGCCCATCAAGTGACTCAGACCTCGGCAGGACCAAGCCCACCAGGCTGTGTTCCAACAGCAGGGCCAAAACCCACTGGGCCAGACACTCAGAAAGTGCAACAGACACGTACACTCAGCAGGCTTGGGGGGGATGACGGTAAAACAGACACAGATGTGCACAGTGAAATGAAAATGAAGTTTAAGAGATCAGAAATGACATCAGGAAGGGGAGACTTACCCCAAGAACCAGAGCAAGGTTTGTGGCACCAGAGCCTGAGCCTAGGTATGAGTTTCCTGGCAGTCAGAGGAACAAGGGAAACCTGACAGTCTCTTCATCGTTGAAACTAACCCATTCAAAACTTGCTTCATATGCAATTTCAAGACTGAATGTCTACAATGTCCTGAACATATTGTTTTTTTTTTTTAAATGTATTTATCTTGAAGCGTCAACGTGTTATAGGGGACCGGGTTTGGACTGTGAGACCAGGAGGGACTTAATGGTGTCTGACCTCCAGACTGAGGATGAGCGTCCAGGAGCCTGAGAACGTGGGGCCTTCAACAGCACCTTCCAGGGCACAGCGGCACCACGGTCCCTCTGCCTTCCCACCACCCAACAGTCAGTACTTGACCCGGGAGAAAAGGGCTAGCGTGTGAGGAGCAACCCGAGGGCCTTCTCTGCATTTTCAGGGCGAGAACCCTGGTCCCACGCCATCTCTGGTTTCAGGGCTGCTGCCACAATGTATGTGAAGACCAAACTCACCATCTGTCACCAAGGAAACGGGCATTTACATAGCTGGTGCCCAACAGCTGAGGCAGCAGCCCTGGGGGGGAGGCCGGGGGCCCAGGTGGCGTCACAGACTGGAAACACTGTCTGTGAGCCAACTCTAATTCTCTTTCTGATCATCATTTAAAGAAACTCCTCTGGCTGCGGCCTTTCTGCAGCTCAGCCTGGGGCTGCCCGTGCTGGACGCTCTTTGGGTGGCAAGGCCTTTTTTTTACTCAGTGGTATCAGCTTACTGGAGCCCCCAGGGCCAGCGCTGGCCAGGTTGGACGAGCCACCACCACCAGCTCTGCAGCACAGAGAGCCAGAGCCAATTCTCACGGCTGGCTGTGAGGCTCCAGTGGGTGAGACATTCGGTTCAGAGCCTAAACGCACCATCCTGAAGGCCCAGCCTCAGAGAAATGCCAAGCGAGACGCAGCGCACGCTGACCACAGCCGGGCCTCTGGGCTCAGGTGGAGGAGACGCGCAAGATGCTTCTGCAGAGGCGCCAAGCCTTGCTATGTATCTTCATTTCCTCCTCCAGAGATTAACCCCAAGGAGACTCCCTCCAGCTCCTCTGGCACCTGCATCTCTGCACGGTCATGCTCAGCCTGAGGTCCCCAGTGCCAGGCACCCTGCAGGTGCAGCACCTGTCTGGCTGAGGGGACCAGGCACACAGCGTGGTGCTATGAAGCACTTACTAGTGACGTCCGGGTGCCCTTTACACACCCCGGCACCCGTCTCCTCACATCTGCCCACAGCAGGCATGGCCATGCAGCAGGGCCGAGCACCCACCTGCTGCCAGAGCAGGTGCAGAGCTGAGGCAGGTGGAGGCCACCCAAGAGGTGTCAGAGTGAATGGCAGTGATGACAAGAGACTCTCTATCTCTAAATGTCCCCCTTGAACCTTCTGCATGATGCACACCCAGGCCTCCTTCAGGGCAGGGGCGTGCCAGGCTTGAGATCTGACCCCTGAGCCTGAGCTTCTCCAGGAGGGGGTTCTCCGAGTGCACTGTCCCCAGGTCACAGAAAGCCTGTGTTCAGCAAGGCAGGGAAGGACCTGTGCCGAGTACCTGAACAGTTCTTCAATGTCTCGGGGAAACTAAGTTAAGTGCTCGTCTTTCTTGGCACTGCACTGCCAACCCTAGTGCTGCGTCACAGGTAAGGGGCAGCCTCTGCCAGGAACTGCAGACGCACACTGGAGAGAGCAGCCGTCTCTGCTTCCAGCCTGGTGGAGTCTGCGTGTCAGAGCTCACGTGGGGACCATATGTCCTGCTTCCGCAGACAGCAACAGAAAGCAGCCCTTTTATCAATCCCCAGTGTTCAGTAGAAGGCCTCCAAAGCACGCTGCCCAGGACACACACCTCTGGTCTGTGCAGTGTGTGACTCACTGCGCAGGCCACTGGGGGCCTCTTCCTGCACCTGATCTTCAGAGCCACGGATTTCCAAAGGCGGGAGACAGCACACAGCATCTTTGAAGGTGAGTGACCCTCGATGGCAGGCTCACACCATCACAGGGGGCCAAGGCACGAACATGGCAGTCAGACTTGCTCACTCAAACCCACAGGCGGGCCACTCCCCCCGCCCAACCCCCCGCCTTCAGGGCCACACTCTGGTCCTCTTGTGCTCCAGCCGATCCCCACAGCACAGGCCCAGACGGGGCATAGGCAGTGAGAGCCACACACCGCACTGCCGTCCATGGTCAGACCCCAAGGGCCTCTGCTCCCCGCCGCTCTATGGAAGCCATCGTCACAGGTGTCCACTGCAGCCCACTACCCCCAAGTCATTGCTGACAGCAGTCTCCCTGCACAGGAACTCTAGCTGGACAAAATGAATGTGAGGCACAGACAAAGTCACAGGGGAGCCAGGCCCGGTGCTGCACACCTGTGATCCCAGCAGCTGGGGAGGCTGAGGCAGGAGGATATAAAGTTCAAAGCCAGCCTCAGCAATTAATGAGGCCTTAAGCAATGGGGGAGACCTGTTAATAAAAAAGGCAAAGGGCTGGGGCTGGGGCT